CCGCTGCCTCTGTGAGTGGCACGTGAGGAACACAGCTGCCGCCATGGTACCTGTGGTCCCTCTCGTTGCATCTCTCGCTCCCAGTCCTCTGGATGCAAGCGTGCAAGCATAATGCAGTGAATGAGCTCGATCCAATGTGCAGGCAAAAGGGCAGCCATGCACCACTCCCCATGCATCACTCCCCACTAAAGTGCACCACCCCCTTTGCACCACTTTCCACCCCCGGGCACCGTGCAGGTGACGGAGGAGGCGCTGCTGGGCGTGCGCGGGCGCAGCATCGGGGCGCTGGTGGTGTCGCTCAACCCCACGCACGGCACCAAGCTGCGCGACCGCTACATGCTGGGCAAGCCGCTGGACGGCAGCACTGTCTCTGTCTTCAGGTGCCACCCACCACCGTCTACGTTCTGTGCGCTGTTCTCTAGGTTTGGTGGTACTTACTAGACGGGATGTGCTGTGCTCATTCAGGGGTTCACATGTCACTCTTGTGGTGTGCTGGCATGCAAGAGTGGGTTTTCTTTCATGGCATGATGGGGTACTCAGCGGGCATGAAACGAACTCATGTCTCTCTCATGCATCATCTCTCATGCATCATCTCTCATGCATCATCTCTCATGCATCATCTCTCATGCATCATCTCTCATGCATCATCTCTCATGCATCATCTCTCATGCATCATCTCTCATGCATCATCTCTCATGCATCATCTCTCATGCATCATCTCTCATGCATCATCTCTCATGCATCATCTCTCATGCATCATCTCTCATGCATCATCTCTCATGCATCATCTCTCATGCATCATCTCTCATGCATCATCTCCCATGCGCCATCACCCACACACCATGCACGTGGCAGTGTGAGTGGAGAGGGGCAGGAGAAGCAGGAGGACCAGCTGCAGTACGAGCTCGCCGTCACTGAGATGTGGCTCCTCGCCTTCTGGTGCAGCCCCCCGGCCCCCCCTCTCCGCCATCACTTTTCCCCGTTACCACCTCACGTGCCCCATGCTTTTGAATCTCTCTTTTCACCATTTACCTTAAGCATCGCTCACATATGTCAAGCATCGCTCACATATGTCAAGCATCGCTCACATATGTCAAGCATCGCTCACATATGTCAAGCATCGCTCACATATGTCAAGCATCGCTCACATATGTCACCCATCCGTGACTCTTCTCAAACTTCTTCTTTCATCCCTCACTTTACACACATATACCTCTCAACATTGATCTCTCACATGACTGATTGGTGCGTGTTCCCCCGTGCGCTCGTGCGCCCATGCGCCTGTGCGCCCCGGCGGTGCGGGCAGTGACGTGCTGCTGGTGACGGACACGTCCACGTTTGGGTACGTGGCGGCGGGGGTGGCGGGGGTGACGCCCTACACCATGAACGTCGCCAAGTGGAAGCACAGCGACTGGCGCTCCAACGGCCGCCTCGCCTGCATGCTCGGCTCTTCCGAGCCCTGCTACGTGCACCAAGTGCAGGAGCGCATCCTCGTGAGTGGATGAGGTTGGGGAGTGTGGTTGTCACAGGTACTCATGAGACTGTCTCGCCTCGCCTGCATGCTCGGCTCCTCCAAGCCGTGCTACGTGCACCAAGTGCAGGAGCGCATCCTCCTGAGTGGATGAGGTTGGGGAGTGTGGTTGTCACAGGTACTCATGAGACTTTCTCGCCTCGCCTGCATGCTCGGCTCTTCCGAGCCCTGCTACGTGCACCAAGTGCAGGAGCGCATCCTCGTGAGTGGATGAGGTTGGGGAGTGTGGTTGTCACAGGTACTCATGAGACTGTCTCGCCTCGCCTGCATGCTCGGCTCCTCCAAGCCGTGCTACGTGCACCAAGTGCAGGAGCGCATCCTCGTGAGTGGATGAGGTTGGGGAGTGTGGTTGTCACAGGACTCATGAGACTGTCTCGCCTCGCCTGCATGCTCGGCTCCTCCAAGCCGTGCTACGTGCACCAAGTGCAGGAGCGCATCCTCCTGAGTGGATGAGGTTGGGGAGTGGGGTTGTCACAGGTACGCATGAGACTGTCTCGCCTCGCCTGCATGCTCTGCTCCTCCGAGCCGTGCTACGTGCACCAAGTGCAGGAGTGCATCCTCGTGAGTGGATGAGGTTGGGGAGTGTGGTTGTCACAGGTACTCATGAGACTGTCTCGCCTCGCCTGCATGCTCGGCTCCTCCAAGCCGTGCTACGTGCACCAAGTGCAGGAGCGCATCCTCGTGAGTGGATGAGGTTGGGGAGTGTGGTTGTCACAGGTACTCATGAGACTGTCTCGCCTCGCCTGCATGCTCGGCTCCTCCAAGCCCTGCTACGTGCACCAAGTGCAGGAGCGCATCCTCGTGAGTGGATGAGGTTGGGGAGTGTGGTTGTCACAGGTACTCATGAGACTGTCTCGCCTCGCCTGCATGCTCGGCTCCTCCAAGCCCTGCTACGTGCACCAAGTGCAGGAGCGCATCCTCGTGAGTGGATGAGGTTGGGGAGTGTGGTTGTCACAGGTACTCATGAGACTGTCTCGCCTCGCCTGCATGCTCGGCTCCTCCAAGCCGTGCTAGGTGCACCAAGTGCAGGAGCGCATCCTCGTGAGTGGATGAGGTTGGGGAGTGTGGTTGTCACAGGTACTCATGAGACTGTCTTGCCTCGCCTGCATGCTCGGCTCCTCCGAGCCCTGCTGCGTGCACCAAGTGCAGGAGCGCATCCTCGTGAGTGGATGAGGTTGGGGAGTGTGGTTGTCACAGGTACTCATGAGACTGTCTCGCCTCGCCTGCATGCTCGGCTCCTCCAAGCCGTGCTACGTGCACCAAGTGCAGGAGCGCATCCTCGTGAGTGGATGAGGTTGGGGAGTGTGGTTGTCACAGGTGTTAGAATTCCCACGTTCTAGCATGCTAACACTTGTGACTCTACACCACTTGTGGTGTACAGTTGGGTTGGGACTACACCCAACTTTGGGTGTAGTCTTGCATATTGGGGTGCCAATCCAACCCAATTGTGGTGGAGCCCCCAAATGCAACCCACTTGGCCATAGGGTGCCCCACTTCCCAAATGTGGTCAACCCAACCCAATGGGCCATAGGTTGGCCCACTCCCCCAATCCCACCTCTCTCCTTTCCCTTCCAACCTTCTCTTCCCAATCCTATGTATGCTTGTTTACTTTCTAATCAAGTCAATCATTCTTACTCAAGTTTCTACTACTCCTAGTTTCTTTCATGGTATTCAGAGCCTAAGGCAAACGCCACTAGATTCTAGACCTACACTTTGTTTTTCCTATGTTCCCTTATACACTCCAGCAACTAAGCGACTTCGTCCGACTTAGTCGCGCGGCCTCCCTTAGTACGTCGCGACCTTTCTCAGCAACCTAACGGGCTCCCCCTACTCTTTGCGCCACTCTGCTAGCATCCGCGCGGGCCCTCCTGCTCGTCGCGTAGCCTCTGCTAGCATCCGCGCGGGCCCCTCCTGCTCGTCGCATCACCTCTGCTAAACGGTCGCGCAGGCCACACGGACCCCTCTGCCCGTCGCGCCATCACTATTAGCAGTCGCGCGGACCCCTTTGACCGTGGCGAACTCATTGCCAGCAGTCGCGCGGGTCAATTTCACCGTCGCGAAGCCCCTGCCAGCAGTCGCGCGGGTCAATTTCACCGTCGCGAAGTCCCTGCCAGCATTCGCACAGGTCAATTTCACCATCGCGAAGTCCCTGCCAGCAGTCGCGCGGGTCAATTTCATCGTCGCGAAGTCCCTGCCAGCAGTCGCGCGGATCGTTTTCACCGTTGCGAATCCTCTGCTAGCGGTCGCATTGCTTCATTTGACTGTCACGGCACCTCTGCCAGCAGCTGCGGAGGCCCTTCTGCCCTCCGCGTCACCCCTCCTCCCAGTCGCACGGGCCCCTCTAAGCGTCACGCCACCCCTGCCGCCAGCCACGCGAGCCTTCCTGCCCATCGTGCTACCTCTTCCAGCACCCACCTGAGCCCTACAGAGCAACTGCGCGGCCCTCCCCGCATTTCCCGCGGATCCCTACACAGCAGCGGCAGCAGCAGCGTAACTGGACAGCAGCAGCAGCGTGACTGGACAGCAGCAGCAGCGTGACTGGACAGCAGCAGCAGCGTGACTGGGCAGCAGCAGCAGCAGGTCTGGCCAGCAGCAGCAGCAGGACTGGACAGCAGCAGCAGCGTGACTGGGCAGCAGCAGCAGCAGGTCTGGCCAGCAGCAGCAGCAGGACTGGACAGCAGCAGCAGCAGGACTAGACAGCAGCAGCAACAGCATCAGGACTGGACAGCAGCAGCAGCAGCATTGGACAGCAGCAGCAGCAGCATTGGACAGCAGCAGCAGTGTGACTGGACAGCAGCAGCAGCAGGTCTGGCCAGCAGCGGCAGCAGGACTGGACAGCAGCAGCAGCAGCAGGACTGGACAGCAGCAGCACCAGCAGCAGGACTGGACAGCAGCAGCAGCAGCGTTGGACAGCAGCAGCAGCAGCATTGGACAGCAGCAGCAGCGTGACTGGACAGCAGCAGCAGCAGGACTGGACAGCAGCAGCAGTGTGACTGGACAGCAGCAGCAGCGTGACTGGACAGCAGCAGCAGCGTGACTGGACAGCAGCAGCAGCAGCAGGTCTGGCCAGCAGCAGCAGCAGGACTGGACAGCAGCAGCAGGACTGGACAGCAGCAGCAACAGCAGCAGCAGCAGCATTGGACAGCAGCAGCAGCAGCTTTGGACAGCAGCAGCAGCGTGACTGGACCGCAGCAGCAGCAGGACTGGACAGCACGAGCAGCAGGACTGGACAGCAGCAGCAGCGTGACTCGGCAGCAGCAGCGTGACTGGGCAGCAGCAGCAGCAGTGTGACTGGACAGCAGCAGCAGCGTGACTGGGCACCAGCAGCAGCGTGACTGGGCAGCAGCAGCAGCAGAGCTGAACGGTGGCAGCAGCACTCATGGCGACTGACTCCGTGCCTATTGATACTGGCTCCATTGTTCGCCTGGAAGTCCAGGATGGCACTACTGCACTGAATTGGCACCGTTTCTCACAGAGCCTCACCGGTGTCCTCCGCTCCACCATCATCGGCGGTGTCAACCTCCATTCCGTTGTCTTTGCCGAACCGGATGGCCTTGAGCCCAAGCCACCTCCCCTCCTTGGTCTTGAACCTCCTCCTCCACCACCCCATCGTGGCGAAGCACCTCGCCCGCCCGATCTCCCTCGCCTCGTTTCTGACAACACCACCAATGCCTCGCGCCTCACCACCTACGCGGAGGAGGTAGCGACACACACGCGACTGGTGGATACCCATAAGGCAGCCCTTGCTGCTCACACCTTGGCTGCCGCCCTTCATGCGGAGTACGCTGCCGATAAGACGTCTTACACCTCCCAACTGACTGATTTCAACACTCGCCATGCCGCCTGGTGCATTGCCGACACTCGGGCTATTGGCCTCATCAACTCCTGCATCCCGGCCTCGCTCCAGAGCGAGCTTGACGCCACTTCCTCTGCAGTTCTCTGGCGCGCCCTCTGTGATCTGTATGACTGTCGGGACATGGCATCTCTTCATGCCCTCTACCGTGACTTCAACGCTATCACCCTTGACAACTGCACCGGCGCAGCTAACTATACCCGTCGCCTCAAGAACACAGCTCGGCGTCTTCGGGAGCGTGGTGCCACTATTGACGACCCCCTCCTCATTTGGCGCATCCTCAAGGGACTCACTCCGGCTTATGAGATGCACCGCATCGCCTACGACATTGTTCTCTCTTCCCACGCCACGGCTGCCGAAGTCACCACATGGGTCCTTGATACTGAAGCCAAACTTACCCGCCAGTCCCCCTCCACCCTCAACTTCACACAGGGACGCGGAGGGCGTGGGGGGCGTGGTGGCAAGGGTCGTGGTGGAGGGAGTGGCGGGGGCGGTGGTGTTCGAGGTGGAGGGGCTGGCAGTGGCGCTACGGGTGGGACGTCGGGAGGTGACGGGGGTGCTGGTCGTGGTGGCCGCTCAGGGGGTTTCCCTCCTTGCTCCTATGTCATTCGACAAGGCCCCAACAAGGGCCACCGCTGCAACCAAACCACCCATCCTGCTGAAACTTGCTTCAAGGCCCTCAGTGATGAGTGGTTTGCTCGGGGCAATACAGGTACCCCTCCTCGCTGGGCCACTATTACCCCTCGCCCTACTGTTCATGACGTTCGAACACTTCCAGCCTATCAGCCACCACCTTCTCAGCTCCACCAGACTTTGGCGAGTCACCTGCCTCCCCACCTCCTGCACCAGGTGCAAGTCTTTCTCCCCCCCCTTCCAGATCCACAGCCTCAGCAGCAGCCGCAGCAGCAGCAGCGGCGGCGGCGGCGGCAGCAGCAGCAGCAGCAGCGGCAGCAGCAGCAGCAGCGGCAGCAGCAACAGCGGCAGCGGCAGCAGCAGCAGCAGCAGCGGCAGCAGCAGCAGCAGCAGCGGCAGCGGCAGCAGCAGCAGCAGCAGCAGCGGCAGCAGCATCAGCAGCAGCGGCAGCAGCAGCTACAGCAGATGCACCCGGGGTTCCAGGGCCTTCCGCCTATGCAGCAGCAGTACCTGGGGCCACAACATCACCCGGGATTCCTGGGTCCCCCCCTCCTCCCTTATCCTCCCCAGCCGCAGCAGCCCCTTCTCCAGCAACAGCCATACTCTGGCTACCCCTCTGCCCCCCCAAGTGTCTCTGACACCCAGGGCAGTTTCCTTGGTCATGTTACCGTTGCACCGTCTGTCACTTCCATGTATCCCTCTGCTCTTAATGAGACGCTTTTCTAGTACACCGTGTCACCTCCCCCTCCCACTGAAACCGCACTGAAGGATGCTGGCACCCTCACTCCCCTTCCTCTTCCCACTCAGGTTCACGGTGCCGACACCACTTTTTCCATCCCATGCACTCACCTCTCCACTCTACCTTGCTCCGCTTTCCCATCTGGTATAGTCACAGGTCTCCACATCCCCACCTTTCGCAACAACCTCCTCTCCCACCGTGAGATACAAGGCGCTGGTATTACCGCTATTTACCCTGGCAATGCTTCTTACTGTGATCTCTACAACACTGCTTCTGGTCGCTTCCTCCTACGCATTCCCCTTTGCCCTCGCACTCGCCTGTACACGCTCCGCACACCTCGTCCCTCCTTCTGTCAGGTCACCACTCGTGCTGGCACTTCCACCGGCCCCCCTCCCCCTCCCCCTACCCCTCCCCCCCAGGTCTCCTCCTCCCCTACGTCATCCCCCTCATCCTCCTCCCCCTCTCCTTCCCCCACTCCATCCCCCTCCTCCTCTAATCAACTCTCCCACCCTGCTGTGCTCTTGCTGTGAGAACTTAGGCTTAGAAGCGATGCATTAGTAATGAGCTTGAAGCTCTTTAAGTACATCCAAGAAGGGTAAGGAATAATTGGGGAAGGGAATCAGAGGCAATCCCTAGGGATTGGGGGTAATCCCAAAGCAATCTCCAATTGGTGGGTTGGAGATTGCTTGGAGATTACAATTGGGTTTGGTTGGGATGTAGGTGTACACCCAACCAAACACAATGTGCAAACTACACTACTCTAGGATATAGAAAATACAAAGCACAAAGTGTGAGATTGAAGGCTAACACTAACACTTGCATCACAGACTAGGCCACCCAAACTTCGCTGCGCTTCGCACTGCCATCACATCCCGCCTCCTCGACAGCCTCCCCCCCACTCTTCCTCCCCTCCCTTCCTCTTCCGCACCCCCATGCCCATCCTGCATTCATGGCAAACTCAAACAGTCTCCCCATCACAGCCACCCAACTTTCGCAGCTGCTCCCCTTGACCTTGTTCACATGGACCTGTGGGGCCCGTATCCCATTCGCTCTCGCCAGGGGCACCGGTACATGCTCGTCCTCGTCGACGACCACAGTCGGTACTCTACTGTCTTCTTCCTTCACACGAAGGATCAAGTGCCGGCTGTGGTCATTGCCTGGGCTGAGCAGTGCCGCACACACTTTAAACGCCCCATCAGCCGCCTTCACTCTGATGGTGGGGGTGAGTTCCTCAATCATACCCTCGCCACTTACTGCAGAACCCGCGGAATTCAGCAGACCCACACCCTCCCCCATTCCCCTCAGCAGAACGGCATCGCTGAGAGTCGCATTCGTGAGATCACCAAGATTGCTCGTTGCCTTCTTGCTCACGCCTCCACCCCTCCTTCCCTCTGGAGCTATGCCCTCCTCCATGCTGCCCTCCTCCTTAATCTCCGCTCCCACCCTCAGCATTCCTCCTCCTCCCCCACAGAACTTTGGTCTAAGGCCAAGCCTGACGCTGCTGGCCTTCGCGTTTGGGGCTGCAAGGCGTTCGTCCTCATCCCTCCGACTGATCGCTCCCGCGCTGCTGGCAAGCTCGCCTCGCGTGCCCTGGAGTGCGTCTACCTCGGCCACAATCGCGATTCCCCCGGCTACCTGTTCCTCCACCCTCCCACCAGTCGCCTCATCCGCAGCATTGACGTCTTCTTCGACGAGTCCATTCCCTACTACTCCACTCCTCCTCCTGACCCTCTTCCCCCTCCTTCCCGCCCCTTGGCTTGGACTGATACCGTCCTCCCACCCCTCCTCCCTCCCGCACCCCTCCTTCCACCGGTCGCCGCTCCGCTCCCACCTTCCTCCTCTGCCGACATCTACGACCCTTCCGCACCCGCCAATCCTGCGCATTCAGCAGCACCCCCTCCCCCCTCTCCCTCCTCCTCTCACTCTCCCCCTCGGCCGCAAGGGCAGCAGCCGCAGCAGCAGCAGCAGCACCACCACCACCACCCGGGGCAGCAGGGGCAACAGCGGCAACGGCAGCAGCAGCAACCGGTGCAGCAGCAGCAGCAGCAGCAGCAGCAGCACCAGCAGCAGCAACAGCGACGCGCACCTTCCCGCTCCTCCCCTTTCCTCCTCCCTCGCATGCACACCCGCTCCCTGGACAAACTCATTGGAGCCCCTCCCCCCGCCTCCATTCAGCTCCTCGAGGACTCCCATGAGGAGTTCCTCAACATTCGGCAACGTACACCTTTCCTTGCCTCCCTCTACCTTGACTTCCTCGGCTTTCCCGTTCTTGGCGCCACCTCCACTCCCACCATCTTCACTCCCACCACCTTCCAAGAGGCCATCACCTGCACTGACGCGGACAAATGGATAGCGGCGATCTTCCTGGAGTGAGCCATTCATTCGCAACGACTCCTTTGTCGATGTCCCCCTCCCAGCCGACGCCAACCTCGTCGAGGGCAAATGGGTCTTTCGGGTGAAGCAGCTGCCAGGTGAGGAGCCAGTCTACAAGGCACGCTACTGCGAAGGGTTTCACGCAGTCTTGGGCCGAAGATTACTGGTTCACCTTCGCCCCCACTGCCAAGCCGCCCACCCTTCGCACCCTCCTCGACATTGGTGCGCGGGACAACATGGAGATCTGCTCCATGGACGTCTCCAACGCGTTCCTGCAGGGTGACCTGCACGAGCGCATTTTCCTCCGGCGGCCCCCTGGTTTCCACGCGGCCTTTCCTGAAAACACTGTGTGGCAGTTGCGTCGCCCTGTCCACGGTTTGAAACAGGCGCCAAGGGAGTGGCATGCGAAGCTGTCTGCCACCTTGGGGTCCCTCGGCTTCTCTGCTTCGCACTCTGATGCCAGCCTCTTCATTCGCTCCTCCCCTCGCCGCTTCTTCATTCTGGTGTATGTGGACGACATGATCCTGCTTTCTGACTCTAAGGCTGACATGGAGCAGCTGAAGCTGTCGCTGCAGCAGCGTCTCAAATGCAAGGACCTGGGCGACCTCACGCACTACCTGGGCATGGCCATCACGCGCAACCGCCCTGCTCGCACCATCACTCTCTCCCAGTCCCACTACATCGGCCAGGTCTTGGAGAAGTTCGAGATGGCGCAGGCCAAGCCTGTGTCCACCCCTCTACCTTTCGGTCACCAGCTCGCCCCACCCACCTCTCCCTCCTCCTCCTCTCACCCTTATGCCGAGCTTGTTGGGTCGCTGATGTATGCCATGATGTGCACCCGTCCCGACCTTGCCTACCCCATCAGCGTGCTTGCGCGCTTCGTTGGCACCGGCCGCCACACCACCGAGCACTGGCAGGCCGCTAAGCGAGTCCTCCGCTACCTTCGCGGAACCAAGGACCATGTCCTCACCCTTGGCGGCCCCTCCCCTCCTCTCCTCTCGGGCTTCAGCGACTCCTCCTGGGCTGACTCGCAGCCGGACCGCCGCTCCTCTCAGGGCTATGGCTTCACCCTTGGCAGCGGCCTTGTCTGTTGGCGCTCCATGCGTTCTTCTGCCATTGCTCTCTCCTCGTGCGAGGCTGAGCTCTACGCTGGCACCATGGCCGCTCAGGAGTCCCGCTGGCTCTGCTATCTTCTTGCTGAGCTGGGCGCTCCTCAGCGCTGCCCCACCCTCTGGTGTGACAACGCCAGCACCATCCATCTCACCCACGACCCTGTCTACCACGCCCGCTCCAAGCACATCGAGTTGCGCTATTTCTTCATCCGTGAGCTCGTCCAGCAGGGACTTCTTGCCGTTCGGAAAATTACGGCTGCTGCCAACTTGGCTGACATCTTCACCAAAGCTCTCCTTTGCCCTGCGCACTCTGCTCTCCTCCGCCTCATCGGCCTTGCTCGCCCGGGTGCCCCTTGATTCAGGGGTTGCTCCCTTCCTGTGTTAGCATGCTAAGGGGTTGTGTTAGAATTCCCACGTTCTAGCATGCTAACACTTGTGACTGTACACCACTTGTGGTGTACAGTTGGGTTGGGACTACACCCAACTTTGGGTGTAGTCTTGCATATTGGGGTGCCAATCCAACCCAATTGTGGTGGAGCCCCCAAATGCAACCCTATGGGCCATAGGGTACCCCACTTTACAAAGTGAGGCCAACCCAACCCACTGGGCCATAGGTTGCCCCACTTCCCAAAATGTGGTCAACCCAACCCAATGGGCCATAGGTTGGCCCACTCCCCCAATCCCACCTCCCTCCTTTCCCTTCCAACCTTCTCTTCCCAAACCTATGTATGCTTGTTTACTTTCTAATCAAGTCAATCATTCTTACTCAAGTTTCTACTACTCCTAGTTTCTTTCAACAGGTACTCATGAGACTGTCTCGCCTCGCCTGCATGCTCGGCTCCTCCAAGCCCTGCTACGTGCACCAAGTGCAGGAGCGCATCCTCCTGAGTGGATGAGGTTGGGGAGTGTGGTTGTCACAGGTACTCATGAGACTGTCTCGCCTCGCCTGCATGCTCGGCTCCTCCGAGCCCTGCTACGTGCACCAAGTGCAGGAGCGCATCCTCGTGAGTGGATGAGGTTGGGGAGTGTGGTTGTCACAGGTACTCATGAGACTGTCTCGCCTCGCCTGCATGCTCGGCTCCTCCAAGCCGTGCTACGTGCACCAAGCGCAGGAGCGCATCCTCGTGAGTGGATGAGGTTGGGGAGTGTGGTTGTCACAGGTACTCATGAGACTGTCTCGCCTCGCCTGCATGCTCGGCTCCTCCAAGCCGTGCTACGTGCACCAAGTGCAGGAGCGCATCCTCGTGAGTGGATGAGGTTGGGGAGTGTGGTTGTCACAGGTACTCATGAGACTGTCTCCCCTCGATTGCATGCTCGGCTCCTCCAAGCCGTGCTACGTGCACCAAGTGCAGGAGTGCATCCTCGTGAGTGGATGAG